TGGCAGCCATGTTTTTAAAAGGAAAAGGCATTTCTTCTCCAAGAAGAGATTTGTAAGTGTTCCTTGAATAATTCCATTCAACTCTATGTGATGTTCAGCTTGTTCTTGACTTATAATGATTCCTTCAGTCACTATCTAAAATTACAGTGATGCGGAATGAATGGTGGTTACAGATGGTCCTTTGAATGATGTCAATAACCCAACTTGTGCTTATAGACTTTCCTTATAGGACCGAAGAATGTCTATGAATAGCACCTTCAAAGAGTGTTTGAGATTTCTGCTTCTGTCTGAAGGGGAAAAAATGGTCTGGCATTTCCTGCTCTTGATGAGTCTATTTAAACATGAAAGTAACAGAGCAAGTTCTCTTTGCTTCTCTTACCTTCCATGGATTACATGTAATCCTCAATTTATGACTGCAATTGGGACCAGAATTGCCATCATTACGCATAGCAGCTGCAGAGCACGACACATTGTCTTGGCAATCCCTGCCGTCCCAATTGTCAATGGTGAAGCCTGAAGGAAATTGCAAGTTGCAGATAACTGGCTGCTGCCAGGTGGGAGAGGGAGAGAGGGGATACATAGGGGTGCAGGGAAGGGTCGGAGAGGATCCATCTAGATCAGTGGTGAAATCCAATTTTTGTTTACTACCAGTTCTGTGTGCTGGGCTTGGTGGGCATGGGGTGGCTTGGTGGGCGTGGCAGGGGAAGGATACTGCAAAATCTCCATTCCCTCCCCACTTCTGGGGGAAGGATATTGCAGAATCTCCATTCCCACCCCACTCTGGGGCCAGCCAGAGGTGGTATTTGCCAGTTCTCCAAACTACTCAAAATTTCCGCTACCGGTTCTCCGAACTGCTCAAAATTTCTGCTAAAATTTCAGAACCTGCTGGATTTCACCCCTGATCTAGATGCATAAGGGTTGTGGGGGAGGATGAGGGAGGAGTTGTGTGAGAGGCATGGGTTGGAAAGGGTGCAAGAGAGTACAGGGGTATGTGAGGAAGTATAAGAAGTGCAGTTCTTATATTCGTCATGGAGGAATATAAGAGGTACAGTGCAGCTTAGGGAGGGTGTGTGTGAGTGCAAGGGTGTGTGTAAGGGTGTGCAAGGGGCTCATGGGGCACAAGCACAGGTAGGCTGAGTGAGGGTGCTTACCTCAGTGCTATGTAACCTTCCATGCTGGCTTCTCCATTGACTTCACTTGTCAAAAACCAACTGGGAAGGTTAGAAATGGTGATCGCATGATCCTGGGATACTGCAACCATCCTAAATACACTCCGGTTGCCAAGTGCCCGAATTTGATCATGTGAATGGGGTGATGCTGCGATGGCCATAAATGTTAGGCAAGTCACTTTTTTCAGTGCTTTCGAAAGCACTGTGGAATTGTTGCTAAACAAATGGTTGTAAGTCGAGGGCTACCTATATTTAAATGAAGGACTGCATAAAAGTTTATTCATGATTACACTTTGACACAGTTCTTCTCTTTACATCAATAATTTCTTTGAACTCTCTCTAGTCTAGGCCCTTGCAGTATGTAACCATACTAATTTTTAATGAGATTAACTCTCTCTTGGCTTTTCTTTACAGCAGTAAAGAAAAACTTCCTTGGGGTTTTTTCTTTGAAAATCTTTCGCTTCTTGTCAAAGAAGCTTCTTCAGTTCTGAGAAGAAGCTTCTTAGATGAGAAGGAAAACATTTAAAAACAACAACCACCAAGAATGTCCAGTTGCCTTTTAGAAAAGCACCTTTAGGACATCTAAGGCCTATTCTCCCTGGCTTTAGTACTTCAATGCCTGCCAGACGAAGTAATTTGGCTTCCTTTCTCCAAGGGTAAACAAGCTTCATGGTTGCCCTTTAGCTTCTGGCAATGATGCTTAAAACTGCTCCCTATGCACAGAATTCAGCAGAATTCTAAATCCTCAAGGAAAAAGCTTCTTTGCATCTGTTCCTGGGAAGGCCCGGCTGGGGGATATATGTATAAATCGGAAAAGCAGGGTGACATTTCTATGTGTAGCAAGGAAATATATGCTTCTATGGTTCTGTCTGTGCAAAGTTGATGGGAAAAATATATTTGAATCTTTTGGTTGACCAAAGTGTCCTGAATTAATTTAAGGGAAAATTTATTACAAGGTTTGCTTAGAAATCACTTTGGTGCAGTTGCTAATATGGTTGTAAAGGGAAATGGTCCTTTTTTAGAGAAAAGGAATGCATATGCATATATATGGATGCAATTTAATCTTAATACATTTATTGTTTCTCTCAATTGAATGTACTTTATTTTGTGAATGGACAGGCTGCTGTGCCAGATTAATTGCATCCCTAGGCAGCCATTTGGAGAGGGTGTCCCAGACACTTTATTAAAAACAGTAAATGTAGCAATAGCAATAGCAGTTATTTATTTATTTATTTATTTATTTTATTATATTTCTATACCGCCCTTCTCCTGCGGGACTCAGGGCGGTGTACAGCCAGGATAAAACATAGCATATAAAATTTAAAAACATTTTAAAAACAATTAAATAATTTTGGTCCGAATTTAAAACAACCCAATTAAAACCGAAATTCGATGAAAAAACTAAGAGGATGGGATCAAGCCAGCCCAGCTAGATGGAACAAGTGTGTCTTCAGGGCCCGACGAAAAGTCCAGAGGTCTGATATCGTGCGTATCTCAGGGGGCAGGTCATTCCAGAGGGCAGGCGCTGCCACAGAGAAGGCTCTCCCCCTGGGGGTCGCCAGCCGGCACTGCCTGGCCGACGGCACCCTGAGGCCACCCTCTCTGTGTGAGCGAACCAGTTAGACTTATATACCGCTTTATAGTGCTTTACAGGTCTCTCTAAGCACTTTACAGAGTCAGCATATTGCCCCCAACAATTTGGGTCCTCATTTTACCCACCTTGGAAGGATGGAAGGCTGAATCAACCTTGAGCCTGGTGAGATTTGAACTGCCAAGTTGCAGGCAGCCAGCAGTCATAAATAGCCTGCAGTACTGCACTCTAACCACTGTGCCGCTGCGGCTCATATAAATGTAGCTGTGGTTCTGAATCAAAAACATTTTTGTGGATCCCTTCATAACTCTCTGTCGCTACTAGGACCTAAAATCATATTGTTGAAGATGCAATAAAATTGTTTCACTTAATGAAGTGTCCAACAAATTGTTCCCATTTGGGAAATAAGGGATTACAAAAATTACCTCAATTTTGAGATTCAGTATTTTCAGATGTTAATATACTTCTGAAGTTTATTCCTACCACATGGACACTGACATCTGGACAGAGAAAGTGGTTTTCCAACATTCTTCTTTCAGTATTGGAAAGGGAAACATATGGCCCCAGCTATCCAATAGTCTGTCAAATTGATGTCACCAGCAATTTATGAACCACTAAGTTATCAGTATAGACTAGCTGTGGATGGCTGTAATAAATTATAGCTTCCATTTATTGAAACATTTATTGTAATATTTTAATGCATGTATATGTGTCCGTGAATATATGCCCTGTATGTTTCTGTTCTTTTCTTTAGCTTTTTTTTTAATTACTTTATAGTTTTCTTTTTCTTTGCTTTATACCTGGGGTGCAGGGGTGAAATGCTCCCGGTTCGGACCAGATCGCCTGATCCGGTAGTGATGGCAGCGGGTGGTTCGGAGAACCGGTAGCAAAAATCCCTCCCCCCCCCATGCCCAGCTGAGCCACGCGATTATCAGAGGCTTTTTTAAAAAAACTTTTAAAAGCATTTTTGCTAAAACCTCTTCGTCCGAAGAGGTTGTAAAAAAAATGCTTTTAAAAGGCTCTGACAATCCCAGCTGAGTTGCCTGATCATCAGAGACTTTTAAAAGTCGGCCGCAGAGGTTGTAGAAAAAATGCTTTTAAAAGACAAAAAAAGCCTCTGATGATCAGGCAACTCAGCTGGGATCATCAGAGACTTTTAAAAGCATTTTTTTACAACCTCTTCAGCCGAAGAGGTTTTAGCAAAAATGCTTTTAAAAGTAAAAAAAAAAAAAGGTTGGCCACACCCACCCAGTCACATACCCCCCCCAAGCCATGCCCACAGAACCGGTAGTAACAAGTTTTACACTTCACCACTGCTGGGGTGGGTAAATATCATTTAGTGACTGTTCAAAGTTACAACGGCACTGAAAAAAGTGACCGTTTTCACACTTATGACCGTTGCAGCATTCCTATGGTCATGTGATTTATATTCCGATGCTTGACAGCTGTTTCTTATTTATGACAGTTGCAGTATCCTTGTGACCCAGTGGTGGGTTACTACTGGTTCACCCCGGATTGGACGAACCAGTAGCGGTAGCGGCGGGAGGCTCCACCCACCCGCCTGGACGCTTCTGAGCATAAGCTTCTGCAGATGCACAGAAGCATCATGCGTGCACACGAGCGAACCGGTAGCAAACTAAATTGAAACCCACTACCGATGTGACCTCCTTTTGCGACCTTCTGACAAGCAAAGTCAATGGGGAAGTCAGATTCACTTAAAAAGAATGATACTCATTTAACAGCGGCAGCGATTCACTTAACAAAGTTGACAAGAAAAGTAGTAAAATGGGATAAAACTCACTTAATAAATTTCTCACTTAGCAACATAGATTCTGGGCTTAATTGAGGTCGTAAGTTGAAGGCTACTTGTATAGGCCCTTTACAATCTGTGGATTTCAACTCTCAGAAATCCTGACACAGGAATTCTGGAATTCCGGGAGTTGAAGTCTGTAGATCATAAAGAGAGCATAGTTGTCCAACCCTGCTTTATACAGTTAATAAAAATACTTCTGACAGAGTGGTGGGAGAAGAAAGACATGAAAGTATTCCTGCACTGTTATACTCCAGCAAATTTGTTCTCAGAGGCAGGAATGAAACAGTCAGCCATGATTATTCTTAGCTATCAATAGGTCTCCCTTAACTCCTGTGAAAGACATAGTCATGCAAAAAATATGTTCAAGCAAAGAAAGGATACAAAGGCATGTTATTATAAATATAATTAAATAATGATATTCATCTGCTCTTTTTGAAGCAAGCCAGTTCTGGTTTTTTTAATATGCATTTTTCTCAGGGACTCTGGTGGTTACACAATCTCACAAGACTAATCTTGATCACAATTCAGAAGAAAAGAAGGACACCAACCCAATTGTTCTCATTCCGTGTTTACTGCATTTGGACTGCTCCAATAATGAATATGATCATCTAAATACCAGTAGAAGTGAAGTTAAGACGGGTAATAGTCTTTCATCATGCTGGGCTGACATTTAAATGTTCACCAACAGTCTTACATCGGACATAGAAATGCAGCATATTTAGTGAAGAGAAAATAACAAATGTAAGTATGCCCATATTGAGGTTAGAGGTTATATATTCCATTTGTGCAGAAAATATGTAGAACAAAATAGTGGCTGTAATGAAAATCTCTTAAAGGTGACATTTGGTAGCTATGATCAGTTTTTCAATATCGCATTCATTTTGTCCTCGTAAAATCCTGAAATGACCACTTTCTCCCCAGGAAATTCCCCAGGAATTTGCAGCAATCTGGGGTGGAGAAGAGAAGATATTTTATTATAGCAGACACAATCAAATTATGATAAATGAGGAGAAAAAGAAAGCAAAAGAGGAGCTGTGGTATTCACTGTCCTGTCCTCATCCAGTTGTTAGATTGTCACAACTCTTCTTTTAAAGAGTTACTTGAAAACCTCTCATAACTATTTCTCAGACTGTTGAATAATTAGCAATTAATGGGCCTTTTTTTATAATGCCAAGTAGATTATCTTCATCTGTATTGCAGTAAACAGGGGAGGTACAGACAGTTTAAAGTTTCCCTTCTCTACTGAGAGCCTAATAAAAATAGACTTCTTCTTGTGACACTCTCCAGACCTCATTAGACTAGACAAGGTGCTGATTTGGCCACTACATGTCCCATGATACCCCATTCTTTTAGAGATAAGACGGTGCAAAAGGAAATGCTGCAAGATAGCTTTATAGCAATGTTTTTCAAACTAGGCAACTGTTTGCTGTCTGGGGAATTCTGGGAGTTGAAGAGCACACATCTTAAAGATGCCAAGTTTGAAAAAGCTTTAAGTAGGGGTCTCCAAACTTGGCAATTTTAAGACCTGTAGATGTCAACTCCCAGAATTCCCCAGCCAGCATGACAGCAGAGACATCAACGTTTCCAAGAACCTTGGAGTTGATTAAATGACTAAGTCTAATCGGAGACTTCTAAAATTATATCCCTAAAGCAAATCTCCCTGAAGAGGTTAGCTGCTGTTGGACAAAACTGTGATCGGTTCATGGCATCTTTTTTTAAAGCTTAAGAGTCACCTGACCATTTTTTCTTTTGTGCTTGTCCCCTCATCTTTGTGTTAAAGCATAAGAATAATAAATAACTTTTAAAAAATGTTCAAAAACCTTATCAGCAACCAAGCAAGGCAATAACAGGGATTAGGGTTGACGCATGGACTGTTTTTCAGAATATGCTATCTGCTTTGAGTCCTTAGAATAAAGAGCTTGAGTAACAACTGTTGAAAAAGTCTGGTGGTTATTGACCTTGATACTTAGCTTTTATCCAAACAGAGCTATTAAGAATGTGGTAGAGAGGCTCACTTGGGAAAATTAGTGCAGGGGGAAAATGTCATTTAGACTAATAAGGATTCTACCCCCTGTAGTCCAGTTCCATCACAAGTGACTTGTTGCCGGAACTGAACTAAAAAGGGATTAACAAAATGGATGCTCTGAGGGGAAAACCTGTTTTAAGAATGTCAGTAAGGTGCCCCTTTTGGTTAAAATCCATCAAGAAAGACCATGAATTGGGACACGCACAAAAAGTGAGCACTTAGCTCTTACTTCTGTATTTATTTGTTTGCTTGTTTGCTTGCTTTGAAAGTTCAAAATCAAACTTCTTGTTGCTTTTTTGACCCTCAAACTTTCCTGCTGGGGTAGTGTGCAAGGAATAGTTTGTCCACAAAATGATTTAAGGGGGAGCTTAAATAGCTTCTCTCCATCCGTATTACATAGCTGATTTAGATAATTAAAAATGTGGAGCTGTGTGTGATAGGTACTTTGAGCTATATAGTGGGATGGGATGTAGAATGCATTCTGTGGACCTTTCACTTATTTAGTTGAACTGTAGTTGAACAATGATTACTATTATCTAGTGAGAAAAAAAACATGGCATTTTTGTCCCCAAATTTGGTATGTACTGCAAACTCAACACAATATCCCCTGTTTTGATAGTGATGAGCAATTAAGGCAATACAAATTAAGGTTCAAATTACAAACATACTGCAAATAAATAAAATACAAACAGTCCATTGAGGTTAAATCAATTTACATGACTCTGTCTTCGCTACAAAGTAGTTTTGTTTATCTATAGAATGACAGAGTTGGATGGGACCTTGGAGGTCTTCTAGTCCAACCCCCTCCTCAGGCAGAAAACTTTATACCATTTCAGACAAATGGTTATCCAATCTCTTCTTAAAAACTTCCAGTGTTAGAGCATTCACAACTTCTGGAGGCAAGTTGTTCCATTGTTCTCACTGTCAGGAAATTTCTCCTTATTTCTAGGTTGGTCCACTCTAGTGGTGGGTTTCAAATATTTTTGCTACCGGTTTGGTGGGTGTGGCTAGGTGGGGGGTCATGACTGAGTGGGTGTGGCCAACTTGATGTCATTCACGCCAATGCCCACTCAGTCACATGACACCTCCCCACCTAGCCACACCCATAGGAAAAGGTAGGACTGGTTCAGGGGCGTGGCCAACTGGCCATCACTACCGGTTCAGCGACCTTGGTCAAATTTCCGCCAATGGTTCGCGCGAATCAGTGCGAACCAGCTGAATACCACCTCTGGTCCACTCCTTGATTATGGAGTGGGTATATATTTTGCTGAAAACTGAGTGTGCTTGTTAATTAGAACTACTTTTTCTACTGATTTCAAAAGCAAACAAGCACAAATAACTTTATTTGGATTAGAGTTTTGTTCCTAAGCACTTACCCAATATTTTTGCCATTGTCCTTCAACATCTTCTAGCATACCCCACCTATTCAAAGAGAAAGCATTAGTAATATACTTCTTCTTTTTTTTATTTTACATCTTGGGGGCATCTTTAATCTTACAATTCAAATCCTTTTTTTTTATTATGTTCCCAAGAGTAAATATGTTGCCATCATTCTGTGAGCACCCAACAATCCTCTTTTTTCCATTACTTGCTTTATATTTTAGAATCTTTTACATTTAGAACAGCATCTGTTATAAAGCATTTGTTTCCAGGTGTTTGGTTTATAGGCAAATAACACTTTGAATTGCACTTCTTCGAGAAATAGGTGATTTTGTGTTATAGCCAAGCTATGTGGGCAGCACAAGTAATTTCATTTGATCTATTAGGCTGAAGGATTTCCGCTCAGTGTAAGTGCAGCCGTGGTTTCCAATGGCTTATTTCATATTGCTCTATCTATACAGAAATCAGAATGCATAACCTTGGCCTTATTTGTATTCTCAGTCAACCCCACAATTGCATCTACCCAGCTTGAATTACCAACAATAGAGCACAATAACAAAATAAATCATGGAGTATATTGCTTTCTCTTGAAGCTAATCTATTACAAAACCTAATGACTAATATTTTATCTTATTATTAAAAAAGAGACACAGACCAGATGATAAGAATACTAATTTTTAACACAAGACATGTGCTCCAAGGACTAATTTCAGAGGCAGAACACAGGACATGCCAACAGGATGTCCTATTGGGTTTGTCTAGTCTAGTGCAAAGGACTGGAGTGATATGATAGCAGTGTTCCAATATCTAAGGAGCTGACACAAAGAAGAGGGGGTCGACTTATTTTTCAAAGATGACAAGCCTTCTTGTTTTGTCATAGAAGACAAGACAAGAAACAATGGATGGAAACTAATCAAGGAGAGAAGCAACCCAGAACCAAGGAGAAATTTAGAGTTAGAACAATTAATCAGTGGAATGGCTTGCCTTCAGAAGTTGTGGGTGCTCTATCACTGGAAGCTTTTAAGAAAGCCACTTGTCTGGAATGGTCTAGGGACTCCTGCTCAAGCAGGAGGTTGGACCAGAAGACCTTCAAGGTCCCTTCCAAATCAGTTATTCTGAGACAAAATTAGTAATTACCCTTATCAGCAGTAACAGTATTAAACTCAGCATACCAAGAGCTTGACTGAATAAAAATATATTTCCACTTCTACAGTCGTGTCTCATGTAGGAAAATGCAAGATGTAGGATCAAATCCTACAACAGTATTTCAATTTCAATTCAATTTCTAATTGAAAAGTGGAAAGTGAAATTGAAAATAGGAATAGAGGTGTGTGATATCCAACAGAACAAAGAAAACTTGAGTTTCCTGTTTAAAGAGTGTCCTACAAGCCCTGCTCTTGGCAGCTCCCTCTTCCGCATCATTAACTCAATTCTCAACATTCACACAAGACAAGATTGTTCTGTCCCCGTCCCACACGCACACACACCAACAGACGTTCAAGAGTTAAAGACCAAACCAGCCAGCAAAATCCTTTTCCTTATGATAACGGAACTTGGCAACAACCTAGTGGCTGCCTGCCAAGAGTTTATTACTTACGAAGAGGAGAGATAACTTCTCCCCGCTTCTGATACATCAAAAGAAACAGCTCAATAATTACAGAGTCAATCAAGTCCAGAGATAATCCAGCAAAGTCTATAGCAAAAGTCCGGCAATGCAGAATGGCATGGAAGCTTTCAGCTTTGTTCGTCACAAGGTTTGACTGGCCACCACGCTCTCTTTTATACCTTGTGGGGTGTGGTCCAGTGACTCAGCCTAATCTCAGGCACGCCTTTTCTTCTGTTGCGCGCGCTTATCTCTGCGACGCTGGCGTGGATCCAGCCAAGACTCATTACTCTCATCACTGTCCACCTGTGGCTGCGTGGATGTGCTTGGCCCCGGCCCTATCTCTGGCCCTTCAGCAGACACCGAAGGCATTGCCAAAGAGGAGGGTCCTGGAGAGGGAGGCCTTGCCAACTCCTCTCCTTCACTCTCGGAGTCCTCTCCTGCCGATGACACAGGCTCAGGTAACGGAGCCACAACAAAGATATATATAGACAGACAGACAATTTCACAAAAGGATGGGATCAGGGGTGAAATACTACCGGTTCGCATTGGTTTGCCCGAACCAGTAGTGATGGCGGCGGGTTGTTCAGAGAACCAGTAGTGATGGCAGCGTGAGACTCCGCCCACCTGCCCAATCATCGCTACTTCCTGGTTTTAACCAGGAAGTAAGCTGTTTTTTACCCTCTGCGCATGCGCAGAAGAGTTTGTGCATGTGCAGAGGGTCTGCACACACACATGCACTTCCAAACCGGTAGGGAAGGTAAGTAGATTTCACCCCTGGATGGGTTGGGAATTTATGGCCTCCAGTAGTCTTCCTTCATGGTGCACTAGAATGGCTGCATCTCCAAACTGCTAGAACAACTTTCCAAGAGGGGGAAAGAACAGGCTATTTCAAAAGAAGGCGTGTTGTTGCTCTTACCCAAAAACTCTCCAATTTATAAGGAAGAATAAGCGTGGTGGAATCTTCAGCTAGATTGGAGGCCGAGTGTAGAGTCCTTGCACTGCAGAAAGCAGCAATTATATGGAACACCCCCCCCCCGAATACTTAAAGCCAAATCTAACCAACCCCAAGGGAATATAGTCAGTTTTAATGAGATTCTTGTAACACAGGTGACTAACAATAAAGATTCTGCTTGAGAACTAACTATTCACGAGTGGTTGTGGTTGCTTGTTGTGTCTGATAATAAGGCAATGGCTGTCTTAAACAGCAGAAAAGGCAGTCTTTTGTGAGTTATTTAATATTATCAACATTGTAGTTTTTGTACAAGAAGAGAAGTATCTCTGGAAGTTCCCACCTCAGATAACAGAATAACTTAGATAATTCTTTGTGTAACTCAGATTAATTAAATCAAGGAAGGACCATTTTTGCTTCTTCTCAGGCAGAACAGAGAAGACAAAACATGTATAATGAGCTATCTCCAATTTTATAATATTGTATGTGTTTGTACTCATGTCTTTTAATTACTTGTTTGTCTTATCTGTGTATTAAACAGGATATGAGGTGAAATTTCTGCCCAGTTTCAGGCAGAGAAGATTATCTTTGCAATTGATATTCCCTCCTTACATGAGGGATGAAACATTCTTGCATTTTAAAAAGCACCACAGTGAAAGACTGAATAAGCGTCTTTTAAATATGTGTATAAAATGTAAGCGATATTTTAATAATCCATAGAGTTCTCTTTCTTCTGAAAATCATTAAAGAGAACAATTACAGTATTTCTTCCATTTTTTCTGTATTCATTAAAAGAAACTCAAGTCCTAAGAATAAGAATAAAATAATACAGAATGAAGTATTAAAAAGTAAATATCTTAATGTTTCACTATATCATATAAATTATAATATCAACTTCAAGAAATTCAGAGTATTATTTTGGCATCCCCAACTGAAGTTGATGTGAAACTTGTCACTAATGTCTATGAATTTGTCCTTAAATTTCAGAGTAGCAAGTTTCTGCAATAAGAGTTTTTAGAGACAGCAATACAGGTAGTCCTCAAATTATGACCACGATTGAGCCCAAAATTTCTGTTGCTAAGCGAAACAATTGTTAAGTAAATTTTATCCCATTTTACGATGTTTCATGCCACAGTTGTTAAGTGAATCACTGATGTTGTTAAATTAGTAGCATGGTTGTTAAGCGAAGCTGGTTTCCCCATTGACTTTGCTTGTCAGAAGATTACAAAAGGTGATCGCATGACCACAGGACACTGTAATCGTCATAAATACGAGTCAATTGCCAAGCATCGAATTTTGGCCACGTGACCATGGGGATGCTGTGATGGTTGTAAGTGTGAAAAATGATCATAAGTCATGTTTTTCATTGCCCTTGTAACTTTGAATGGTCACTAAATGAATTACTTTAAGTCAAGGGTACCCTGTAGCGAAAATACAAATATTAAAGTAGCCTGATTAATCAGAGAACAGCCAGAGAATGTATAACAAACTGAAGATGGCTATGCAGAAGTGGCGTCAAGAATTGCTGCAAAGACCAAGGAACTGCTGAGTAGAGCAGTCCCTTGGAACCTCCCTGGATAAGTTTTAGAAATTAAAAGGGAAATGCAAATGCTAAACCAAGAGAATGACCTGGAAAGTGTTTTTTATTGGTTCTGCAAAAGAGGCTTGTTAAAGCCTTGAAGAAATCTATGCAATGGGATAAAGAAGAATTTGAGAAAGATCAAGTCCTATGACAATATTTGATTGAATTGAAAATTAAGACTTCAAAAGGAAGGAATATAAAATTGGCTTATTTTATTTTACAAAGTACTGGCAACCCTTTATGGACTTTTTGCTGGCACCAGGATTGGGGGTGGGGTGGGGGATCATTTTATGCTTTTGCTTCAGGGGTGGGTTCTAAATTTTTTTACTACCGGTTCTGTGGGCGTGGCTTATTTTGTGGGTGTGGCTTGGAGGTCATGTGACTAGGTGGGCGTGGCTAGCTGGTCAGAGTCATTTCTGGAAGGTCCTCGCACTTACGACCAGTCCTCGCACTTACGACCCGACTCATTTGTTTGCTTTTAACACTGATCAGCTGTAGGACGGCCCTTTGAAGCCCCCCGGCAAGAGTTTAAACAGTTTTTTTCCCTCTAGTCATCAGCTGGGACTCAGGAGGCAGCAAGAGATTGGGGGTGGGACCAAATAAAAGGTAAGAATAACGTGGGTGGGAGGGCGGGGGGGGGGGAGAACCAGTTCGGTGACGTCATATCGTCACCGCTACCGGCTTGGCCAAACCGGACCGAACCGGGAGGAACCCACCACTGTTTTGCTTATAGATAAAGGATAGGATATGGAATGAAGAGATCTCTGTTTAAACTTATAAGAGGTGATGAGTTATTAAATTAGTTTATACTTGGTGTGATGAAGGTTAAAGCCACTTCATATATTTTTTGTTTTCTTTATTATATTCTTTCTTTTCTTTTTTCCTTCACCTTTTATTCTTTTTTTCCCATTTCTTTCTAAGTTTAGTTTGAATCAGTTTTTACAATTATAATTAAAATGCTTGATAAAATTTTATTCAAAAAAAACAGGATAGTAAATCAGAGTATCGTGGGCTGCAAGAAGAACAAATCAGAAAGTCCTGAACCCATTGAAAGCTGGCTGCTCCTTCGAAGAGATGATCAGCAAGCAGAAAGCAATATATTTTGGGCAGGTAATGTGAGTAGTTAATGGATTGTTAACATACCATAAAAACATACCGACTGAGGGACATTGAGGTTGTTACTAACTTAGCAACTGCAGCGGTTCACTTAACAACTGTGGCAAGAAAGGATGTAAAATGGAGCAAAATTCACCTAATAATTGTTTTGCTTAGCAATACACATTTTGGGCTCAGTTGTGGTTGTAAGTCAAGGACTACCTATATTGCTTCTGACTCCAGCCTATTCTGTACAGCTAGTCACCCAACTCATTCTTTCTCCATCAAGAAAGATAAAAGACAATGGGTTCTAATTTATAGATGGACTTAGGTAACTCGGACTTAGGTAACTCAGGATTTCATATCACCACAGTGTTTTCTAAGTTACGCTTAACTATCTATGTCTACGTCTACGTCTACATCTACATCTACATCTACATCTACATCTACATCTACATCTACATCTACATCTACATCTACATCTACATCTACATCTATATTGGTAAAGGTTCCCCTTGCACATATGTGCTAGTCGTTCCCGACTCTAGAGGGCGGTGCTCATCTCTGTTTCAAAGCTGAAGAGCCAGTGCTGTCTGAAGATGTCTCCGTGGTCATGTGGCTGACATGACTAAATGCCAAAGGCGCACAGAACGCTGTTACCTTCCCACCAAAGGTGGTCCCTATTTTTCTACTTGCATTTTTTACATGCTTTTGAACTGCTAGGTTGGCAGAAGCTGGGACAAGTAACGGGAATTCACCCCGTTATGTGGCACTAGGGATATGAACCGCTGAACTGTCGACCTTCTGATCGACAAGCTCAGCATCTTAGCCACTGAGCCACCACGTATCTATATCTATATCTATATCTATATCTATATCTATATCTATATCTATAATCTATCTATCTATCTATCTATCTATCTATCTATCTATCTATCTACCTATCTATCGTATATAAATTTTCTGCTGGTCAAGAAGATAAGTAATCCATCACTGCCACCTCACTGCACAGTTGGAAAACACACATAATGGACTGTGGCCTGAGAATACTTGAGCAACAATGGTAATTTCACCCCTCAGAAAAGAGGATGCACAGCAGATCACCCTCCCACTTGCACAAGGGCAAGAACAGGAAGGAGGAAATCTGGATGAAAATTTGATTTCATTTTCAAAAGCCAAACTCATCTCCTGAAGGAGTCGCTTCCAAGCGTAAAATAAAATAGAACATATAAAGTGAACCAAGGGGATAAAAGAAATATTTCTGATTAAATTGATACAAGTTAGAATGTTCCACATTTAGCACAGAATTAAACCCTAAAATAAAGTGCTCAAAGTCCGATGTTGAAGCTAGATTGGAGAAAATGTCAAATTAACCCATATCCTTTCTTGAGTGCTCAGAAGAGAGCTATGAGTGGAAGAAAAAAAAATTGTATTTAAAGCATGGCAAAAATGTTTCTGAGCTAGTTTTCTTCTTTGGTTCTCCTTTCTCCCCTCTCCCCCCCCTCTCTCTCACACACATACACAGACGCTAAACAATAACTTTACAGGGAACAGAAGTATTTTTAGTTTTTGAATTCCAAACCATTTCATTAGCTGCTGGCTGGGGGATTCTGGGAGTTGAAGTCCATCCATCTTCAAGCTTCCAAGGTTGAGAAACACTGCGCTAGACCAAAGTGGCCCTTCTTACCTCTTCTAGTAACCTATCTGTTCTCCAGAAACATCTTCTCCCAACCTTCCTCAGATACACAGAAAGGTCCACCCTGCTGGCTTTAGGAAAGACCTGGTATTTGAGTGGAGACCCCTTTTACTATAGTTATTTTAATTGTTTGGTTTTCCATTTTCTATATTAAAAATATATACTGTATTTTTAATGTTGTGCAATTTTTTTTACTTTTACTTTATTAATATTTATTTTTGTTGTGCATCGCTCAGAGTCACATTGTTTGAGTTTGGTGGGCTTATAAATTCCCAAATTAAATCCATCAATAAATAAACTCTTACCAAAATTAGTGTCATTGAATTATGCTGTAAATATTACTCTGTATAAAGATTCAGATTAAGAGATAATTTAGCTCTGCTTCTGAGGGATGGTAGTGTTGCCTCACTTCGAAATATAATTATTTTATTTATGCTGTGCTATAAGAAGCACTCCAGCATAAATAGCTCTGTGAGAGGTAAAACTAAATCATTTTTCTTATGCTGGGCTGTTTGGTATAATAGTTAAAACACCAGGCTAGAAACTGGGAGACTGGGAGTTCTAGTCCCACCATGGACACAAAGCCAGTTGGGTGACCTTGGGTTGGTCATTCTCTCTCAGCCCTATGAGTGAGACAAGGCAAACCACTTCCAAAATCCTGCCAAGAAAATCACAGGGATTAGTTTAGTGGGACTAGTTTAGAGGGACGCAGTAGCTCAGTGGCTAAGACACTGAGCTTGTCGATCGAATGGTTGGCAGTTCAGCGGTTCGAATCCCTAGTGCCGCGTAATGGGGTGGGCTCCCGTTACTTGTCCCAGCTTCTGCCAACCTAGCAGTTTGAAAAAATGCAAGTAGAAAAAATAAGGACCACCTTTGGTGGGAACAGCGTTCCGTGCGCCTTTGGCATTTAGTCATGCCGGCCACATGACCACGGAGATGTCTTCAGACAGCGCTGGCTCTTTGGCTTTGAAAGGGAGATGAGCACTGCGCCCTAGAGTGGGGAACGAATAGCACATATGTGCGAGGGGAACCTTTACCTTAGTCTAGTGGGGCTTTGAACATTTTGGTTTGTCATCTCCAGGATGAAGTTCATCTCAAGGCTTCTGACTCTTCCTACTGAGCCCCTCCCTCTCATGCAGTCACAACACCAGAAGTCCAGCATTCCATTTGAAATAGGACATTTCTCAAGTGCTTGCCATTTCTGGTTAAAGCACTATCACAGACAGTGTTAACTAGTTTGCAGGCAATATTCATAAATATTCTGAGAGATAATATAAAGAACATTCTTATGCATTCCATTTTTTAATTTTATTGATAAGGTTGTAAGATTAATCTCTTCTATTCTATTCTTACATATTGGCTGTTTTATCACCAGCCACATAGTAACGTAACTCCTTGTCCCTAGCTTTAAAAGCCTTGTTTTAAGTCTGTGTCTCTGTGTGGAATCAACATGATTCATTTGGTACTTAGATGATGTCCTCTAATCTAGATTCTCTACCTCCACTTCAAGAGGGAGACAAGGAACTTTAATATGTATGTCTTGAGAAAGAAGTCACTTGAGAGGAGTTGCCTTCGAAGCTGTGTGGAGGAGAAAAATATGCCCTTAAAATCTGAAGTATTTTCTTTACCAAGTTCTCCCTTAACAATGTGCAGCCTGCTGAGTGTTTTATTCTTTTTTTTTCTTTCATAGAATTGACTTTAGTTACAGAAAGAATTCTGGGGAAGTTTTCATTTTAAAAAAGTGATGTAACAATCTTACAGGGACAACACCTGTAACCACTTCTGCTGACTAAATTCATGTTACAGAATCTTCAAGTGTTCAGTCACTGATGGCCACAGCAGTGAAACTGCTGTCTTCACCTTATTACTGTTGAGTAAGGAGAAGCTGTATGGATACAGTTAATGCCACAAGACTGGGGGGAAATATAAATTCACAAGTTATTGGGCATTATCAGCAATCGATTCATAGGGATAAGTAAAATGGGCAAAAATGTCTTGCATGAAAGACATTGCATCAGCCATTACATATGGCAACACAATTGCCTTCGGGTAAGAGAAGAAGGACCAACTATATAAGCACTTATGCTTGTTGAATGAAAACCAATAATAGCCGTGGCCAATTTGGTCTAATTGAAATAGTACTAGAAGGAAGTATAGAGCACAGATTATCAACTAGTAGCTGTCTCAGCATGCAAGCAGCACAGTCCTTGATAAAGTGTTCCTCATCTTAGTCCCTACTTAAGCGGTAAAACGTAGCATGCAGCATCTGTTTGCTTTGTGCCATGCATCTCCTGAGCTACTTTTCACAATCTGCACACTGTAGCTTCACATATAAAAATCTACCCATCCTATTATGAGATGGCATTGTGTAGATGAAATTTGACAGCTGGATTGCAATGGAAAGGAAAGTGAGAAAAGACGTGTTGCATTGGCTGAAATCCAGTTGCACAGCATGTATCCTGTTATATAAACCATCGTCAGTATAGTTGCGGTCAATTTTAGCCTCTTAAGAAAGTTTCTGTCTGCTTAACCCTAACCTTCAAGCATCAAGAGAAGGAAATGTTCCATGTTCCTATGCAAAATTCATTGTCTGCCTGTTATTTACAGGTAGTCCTCGACTTATGATCAAAATTTCTGTTGCTAAGTGAGACAGTTGTTAAGTGGGTTTTACCCCATTTAGGAACATTTCTTGCCACTGTTGTTAAGTGAATCACTGCAGTTGTTAAGTTAGTAACATGTTTGTTAAGTGAATCTGACTTCCCCATTGATTTTGCTTGTCAGACGGTCACAAAAAGGGTTCCCATGACCCAGGGCACTGCAATTGTCATAAATACATGCCAGTTGCCAATTTTGATTGCATGACCATGGGGATGCTGCAACAATCGTAAATCTGAAAAATGGTCATGAGTCACAGGTGCCTTAGTGCCACTGCAACTAAACGAAAAGTTGTAAGTCGAGGACTGCCTGTATTACGGAAACGACAAGGAGAAACAGCCATGAATCCACTTACCCAACTAATTTGACAGAATGGGATCTCTCCTGGGGCTCATGCTGTGGTTCTTCACTGGTATGCCTATAAATCCCGCTCTTATAAAGGAAGAAATCCTCGTATACTTTCATGATGGCTGGAGGGTAGCAGTGAGTGCAAAAGGGCAAAAAAAGATAGCTGTAATCCTAATTTTAACTAGTGTTCATTACAGAGACATCGTTTTAATATATGGAAATTATTTCGCAATCCTTTCTAAGACTAAAAGCTTGAAAGATAAATAAATAATTCACAGGAGACCTCGGTGTTAGCAGAAAATCTATAAGGTCTCTGGTGTATTCCTGCCCGCTTTCTCCAAATTTAAATATTTTATGCAGGAACATGAATCCACTGTTTCACTTGATTTCGTCCACATCTTAGGTTACCTTGTTCAGACTGTTCTGAGGTTTCACTTAAAACACAGAAACCAGTGAGACTCCTATTCTGATCGGTAGATAAAAGAGTGTGTGATAAGTGTCTGTTGTGGAAAGAAAGGAAATGATGATACATCTATCTGATGCATTGACACAAATGATGTGGTTGATCTATTTGCATCAGACATCATGACATGAGTAGAATAAGCTGCATCTTTTGCATGATAATGGCACAACACAGGTGTCATAAACCTGATATCAAACTTGATGATGTAATGTCGCTGTCTGTGAATCCTTGTTGTACACCGCAGGCTGTGTTGTGGTCCGCCAGCAGCCTGTGGAGCTGGCAGCGGAGTCGGACAGCGATGAGACTGAGGAAGAACATGGGCCAGTCCTGGAGGCTGGGGAAGACCCGGATGAGGGCTCTGTGTTAGAGGCAGAAATGGGGCCAGGACCTTCGGGGAGTGAGGTGTGGACTCCAGAGCCTCCAGAGACTGATAGGAGTGAGGCAGAGGAACAGGAGGAGCCTGTTCCTAATGCACGCATGAGAAGAGCTGCCAGAAGGCAAGAGCAGCTCAAGCAAAGAGGACAACTCGGGAGTAGGGCCAAGAGAGGATTGGCCCCTCCCATAAGGCTTAAAACAGACCAGGAATGGCGTTTGGGCTTTGCCAGAAAACAACATTGGTAGCTTCGTCTTCTCCTTTGTCTATGTCTTGTATTTATTTTTGTATCTGTGACTTCTGAACGTTTGCCAAGAAAGGCCTTTGGCAATTTGCCTGATTGGACCAAGGTTTGCGATAGGACTGAGGAATTTGTGTTGGGAGGAATTTGCTTTAACTTAGTTGAACAATGCTGGGAAGAAGTAATTCTCAGCTGTTCGAATAAAGTATGTTTGTTTTTTCACTGACTGATTTTCCTACTATTTACTTGGGCCTGGGTCATAACAGCCTGATGCATACATATAAGGAAAGGAGCCAGCCAATAAAGCATCATTCAATCGTTTTGAGAAAACAGATTATTTGTTTCTTTTCCTTCATTTTCTTCCTTAATTCCTATCCAGTCAAGATGGAGTGTTCCTCCCTTTACTCTGCCTTATTTTTATATCTTGGCTTTTGCTGCACTCCTTTTGGAAACATCTGCCTCTGTCTTATCCAATCCCTCTCACACCTACAATCTGTTCTTCCTTACCATTCCCTCAAATCTCTCATGTTAGAATCTCTTCATTTCTTTCATGTTCAGATTCTTATTGGAAATCATTAGAATGTAAGAGAAGATTCTGCTAGACCTAGCCATTGGTCTGTCTAGTCATGTATTATATGTCATTCAGTCATCAGCTGAATGCATTGAAAAAGCTCCTGTGTGCCTAGACTGGACAGTTGTTATCCCTGTTGCTTGTAATAAAATCATATCATAGAATCTGAAGGCCAGAAGGAACCTCAGAGGTCTTCTAGTTCAATTCCTTGCCCAAGGCAGGAGTCCTTAAACCATCCTGGACAAATGGTTGTCTAATCTTTTCTTGAAAATTTCCAGAGATGAAGGAACCACAAACCTGGGAGGCAAGCTATTCCACAGATTGTTGTTATTGTCAGGAAATTCCTCCTTATTTTCAGGTTGGATCTCTCTCTGACAAGCTTCTACTCATTGCTTCTTATCCTCCCCTCAGGTGCTTTGGAGAATAAGCAGATGCCCTCTTCCCTGTGATAGCCCTTCAAGTATTAGAAAAATGGCTACCATGTCTCCCCTGAGCCTTCTCTTCATTAGGCTAAACATTCCTAGTTCAGTGGTGAAATCCAATTTTTTTTACTACTGGTTCTGTGGGCGTGGCTTGGTGGGCATGGTGTGGCTTGGTGGGCATGGCTTGGGTGTGGCAGGAGAAGGATACTGCAAAATCTCCATTCCCACCCCACTCTGGGGCCAGCCAGAGATGGTATTTGCCAGTTTTCCGAACTATTCAAAATTTCTGCTACCAGTTCTCCAAACTACTCAAAATTTCCGCTACTGGTTCTCCAGAATCTGTCAGAACCTGCTGGATTTCACCCCTGACCTAGTTCCCTTTCCTAGTTCCCTTCCTACCAGTCAGTATTTAAGGCATGCTGCCTATAATCCATGTAGACTGTCATTAGCATTAGACATCATAAATTACCTCATCCTTCATGAACTCTTGCAGACCCATTTTACTATCATCCAATTTGGCTGCCATTATCTGTCCTTCACTGATAGGGAATTCCAGAGTTTAACTGTGGGCTATGTGAAAAAGCCTGTTTGTTGTTTCTGAATTTCCCTTCATTTGAAGAATTTATATGCTAACATATGGGAGAGGGAGAAAAATATTTGCACAGGTGTCTGTGGGAGGACAGGGAGACGGCAACAGCTACATGCAGAAGCTGTATTTAGTAGTTTTCTAAGACTGCTCACTCATCAAGGAATCTGATCATATAGGTACGCATCAGACATTGTGATGCAAGTACATACTTGGCATTTGCAGAATGACTCATGTGCAGATGTCATTGTTTGAGCATAATTGTTATGGATGCCCCTTTCTCCATTTGTGTTTGCTAGGAATGATGGCATATGCCTCCATCACTCAACCTCTGACTCAACTTCATCCAAGCTAAAAAACCTCAATTGTCATAACATTTCTTTGTAAAGAAGCCTTTCTCCTTTTCTCCAAGTCTCTAATATCCACCTAAAGATGCAACAGTCAGAGGTGTCCATGATGCTCCAAATGAAGTCTCCTCAGGGTTTAGTTTTTTAAAAAAAGTGTCACTTCTTAAACCTCCCTTTCTGAGGAGCCCAAGCATGAAATGACTTCAGTACTTCTAAGGTTGATTTTTCCCTCCCATCAGCTTGTTCGCCAAGCTAAAGTGGCATCCTTCTATTTCTATCCCTCAATTTCATAATTTAAAATTTCTCAGAGAAAACTGGTGGTGGGTTTTCCTATGCCCAGTTCAAAACCAAACAGGACTTCTTAGCTGTTACTTGATTACAATAACACACCATTTCTATTCCGCCATTTCTCCAGCGCTATTTGAACCCAACCTGCCTGACATCTTTTGTAGCTCCTGCTGGTCTCAGAGTGCTGAAGATGTCAAGAACCAGCCAGTGCTTTTTCCAACTGACCAATAGGCAAAAAATTATCGTTCTCTCTTGTGCTGATTGATTGTTTCCAACACAAATTGAGCTGGGACTCCTGATTCTTCAAATATTGCCCACTCCTATCCAATATAATGGTATTGAAGCTTCTTTCCCCCACATTTAATACCCATAAATATAGATCTAGACATCATTAATCCATGTGATATAGTTGTGAATGATCAGTTTCACTGAACCTATGGCACTAGCTTCTGAAGAGGAGTACAGTATAAATCAAGCTTTGCTATTTTGTTGTACAAGATCTTGGTTTAGGATTGTAATAAATCATCTAAAGCAAATACCAGGCAAATTGAAACTGAGTCATGTAATAGTATATGCGGAACCTTAGGAAGAATGAGTGTTATTCCCAAAAAAATAATAACACAAGACAACTAATATTCTTAAGAATTGTCTGTGGTAAGAGTTGGCTTTTATGCATATCATGCTTATTAATTTACTTTAAATCAAGCTTTTCTTTACCTTGCACTGGACCATTTTCTCTGATTTCTCTCATTATATCGGCCTCCTAGAATTAGGGAACAAAAAAAATGGTATACTTTTTACATCTATTTTCCCTATTTATGTTTCTGAATTGGACACGTTATTTAGAGAAAAGGGCGCACTGCATTTATTAATTATAGCAAATAGTTTGATCTGGCTGCACCCTGATTTGACTACATTCTCCTTAGAGGAAGGATTTCAATTCGATATCCTTACCTAGTGATGAATCCATTTTTAGAAAGAAACCTCTGCATGTGCAAATATATGTATCGATGGACTTTGGGAAGAACCAAGAAATTGCCAGCATTTGAAGTAACAAATGTAAACTGCAGGAGTTGAAATTTACTCACACTGAGCACTTACCTTTGAAGGGATTCGGTAGGGAGAGCCACACTGATAAATGCGGTTTGATGTTTCAAACTGATTTGGACACGGCTTTATGGCCCGTCTTTTCCCTTCAGCATCAAACACACTTGTAATGGCACAAGTCATCGGGTGAAGCTGGTTCCAGAATAAAGGGTAGCAGGCATGGGATACCAGCCTATTTAGATTAAAATACAAATCAATGGGTTTTTTTTAAAAAAAAATGTTTTAAATAGCCGGATTCCTGATTTTATCCAAGGAATTGTTTTTAAGGAGTCTGGATAGCTCAGCAGACAGAGCTCTGTAATTTAAGACCAGCTGTCTGCAATTAAAGTAAGATCGAATCCCGCCAGGCTCAAGGTTGACTCAGCCTTCCATCCTTTCTAAGGTAGGTAAATTGAGGACCCAATTTGTGGGGGCAATAAGCTGACTTTGTATAAATATACAAAAGTATGAAAGCTATTGCTTAACGCATTGTAAGCCGCCCTGAGTCTCCGAAGAAGGGCGGCATATAAATCAAATTTAAAAAAAAAAAAGAGTGCCTACCTTTTGGATTGCTGGTGGGCAATTATTTTGTAGGTTTGGAAATACATCTATTATCATTATCATTATTATTATCAAAAGAGGATGAGGGGAGGAGAGTGGCTGTAACTCAAAGTGGCCTCCAGCAGGTCCAAGACAGAAATTTGGATTCTTATTTAGGAATGTTTTGAATGGTGATTAGTCAAGTGGGTGCTTCATTAATGGAGGTTTTTATGAAGAGATTGGACAACCACTTTTCTGAAATGGTACATAGGGTCCAGTGGTGAAATCCAATTTTTTTTTACTACCGATTCTGTGGGTGTGGCTGGGTGGGCGTGGCTTGGTGGGCATGGCAGGGGAAGCATACTGCAAAATCTCCATTCCCACCTCACTCCAGGGGAAGGATGCTGCAAAATCCCCATTCCCTCCCCACTCCTGGGGGAAGGATATTGCAAAATCTCCATTCCCATCCCACTCGGGGGCCAGCCAGAGGTGGTATTTGCCGGTTCTCCGAACTACTCAAAATTTCCGCTACCAGTTCTCCAAACTGCTCAAAATTTCCACTACCGGTTCTCCAGAACCTGTCAGAATCTGCTAGATTTCACCCGATAGGGTCTCCTGCTTGAACAGAAGGTTGGACTAGAAGGTTGGTCCCTTCCAACTCTGTTAATCTGTTGCAGTAAGCATAATGTGTCTATTGGAAGCTTATATTTTTTTAAAAATCGTAAAATATATTGGTGCCTATGTTATAATATAGTAGTTTGGAAGTGGAATCCTTAGAGCCTCTGGCAACAGTAAAAGAGAGGCTGGAAATTTGCATTGACCTTCCATGTTATTGGTTGCATACATGCCTGTGTTAGAATATGGATTAGATTCCTGTTCAAGAGAGGCCTTTCAAATTAATGTATACCTTATAACTTGAAGGAAAACTATTTTTAACATACAGCATAGCTACCTGGAATTAAATGAGTCCATCTTGATCAGCACTGTGCAAGAGGAGGTTAAGCTCCTTCTTACTGCCAGAATATAAGCCCTGTTTGAAACCGGCTGCTAAATCCTGTTTGCAACTCTGAAAAAGTAAATCCTGGTGACTGAGGCCACATTGTGTTTGTCCTTGCTCTGCAATCACTCTACTGGTATCTGTATGAAATATCCCATACTAGGTGAGATTTATCAAACTGAAAAAAAAATCTGATCTAAGCAATAAGTTAGTAAGAGGATATGATCAACCCTGTAACCTTAAAAAAAAGAAGGTAGTCTATACCTTATTATATTCATTTTTTTGACTCTTAACTTGAAAGCATTTATTGCATTACATATTCTTTTTTTTCTGAATCACTCAGAAGTCAGGAAAGCTTTTATAGCCCACAGTTCAAATGTATACCCTATGAATCCTTTTTATCTTAAAGAAACAGACTCCTTGCAGCCACCATGTCAGATGGGATTGTTCTGCAAAGCAACAGCTCTGAAATTCCGTTCAAGAAAGTTATTTCCTAACAAGCTATTTTATTAGGTTTTGTTGGCTACTTTGCTGGAGTCAAGATAAGGCAGCTACACTGGGAATTTTGATGCAGACCTTCCATACAGTCGACAGGATTCCTGGGATCTAATTTGGAAAGGGTTACAATAGATTGTGATCTGTTGGTAGGATATTAAATGTTTTATGGAGGAAAACAATGTGTTCTATTTTTCTGTGTTTTCTTAACAGTGGCAACAAAAAAACTCTTCTTAAATAGTTATTAGATTCTATGATCTGTAATAATAATTCAGTGATAGAGATGTACTAATATATGAATCATTCTAGCATACGGCTGAAACAGCACAGAGCGTAATTGAATTAATCTCCTGTCTGAACTAATGTTTTGTGGATCTTAATCTTAGTTAAATAGGATCACAACAATGTAGATCTTATACTTTTGAAGTCTGCACTCTCATCTTAGAGATGCCTTCTTCGAATCCAGGTGCTTCAAGATATTTTGTAATACAGTTCCTATCATGAATGAAGGCAAATATACGTGTGTCCCAGGATAATGTTGCAGGATCTAATCTGGGTCAATTGCTGGGACCAGAGGTTAATCTAGCAGTTCCTATCATCCAGGACCAGGGATGAAATGCTCCCGGTTCAGACCGGATCACCCAATCCAGTAGTGATGGAGGCGGGTGCTTCGGAGAACCGGTAGCAAAAATTCCTGCCCATCCCCCCATGCCCAGATGAGCCGCCCAATCATCAGAGGCTTTTTTTTTACTTTTAAAAGCGTTTTTTCTACAACTTCTTCGGCGGAAAAAATGCTTTTAGTAAAAAAAAAGGCCTCTGATGATCGCCCAGCTCAGCTGGGATCGTCAAAGGCTTTTAAAAGAAAAAAAAGGGGTTTTTTCTTTTAAATGCCTCTGACGATCCAAACTGAGTTGCCTGATTGGCAGAGACTTTTTTCTTTTAAATGCCTCTGATGATCAGGCAATTCAGCTTGGATCGTCAGAGGCATTTAAAAGAAAACCCCCCTTTTTTTTTCTTTTAAATGCCTCTGACAATCCAAGCTGAGTTTCCTGATTGTCAGAGGCACTTAAAAGAAAAAAAATCTCTGCCGATCAGGCAACTCAGCTGGGATCGTCAGAGCCTTTTGAAAGCATTTTTTTACAACCTCTTTGCCGAAGAGGTTGAAGAAAAAATGGTTTTAAAAATTAAAAAAAAATGGCCACGCCCACCGAGTCACATTACCCCTCCCACCAAGCCACGCCCACAGAACCAGTAGTAACAAATTTTAGATTTCATCACTGTCCCGGACTGTTAGTTATGCTGATTGCAACTGAAGGAACTAGGCTGCAATGCCTAGAAAGTGTTGGTTGAGGAATCTGGGAGTTGAAGTTGAAGCTCAACATTTTAAAGTCACTGAGGTTGACTTTAAACACTGATTTAGATAATTCTTCAAGCACTATAAAGGATTTAAGGCCTAAGGCAAAAGACATGATAGCATCTCATACTATTTACACAGCAGAAGTTGGTCTAGACTAAGAGTTGGTTTTTATTTTAGAACCAGTGATGCAGTAGTGAGATTCTACCGGTTCAGATCAGTTCGGGCAAACTGTTAGCTCCGACTTTCAGCCGTGAGCGAACTGGCTCTCTCTTTCTTTGAAATGGGCCCACCTGCCCCTGCATTATACTCACCTTTATTTCTGCTTCTGAGTGGATTGCTGCTCCTCAGCTCTTTTCCTTGCTCTCAGCAACACCGAAGTTCAATTTTCTGCAAACTGCACACACATACACACAGTGTGTGTCTGGTGTGTGCTTGCTCAGCGAACCGGTTGTTAAACCGGTAGGATCCCACCACTGCAGTAATGGTACAGCATCCTGCATCTCACTTTAAGGACACTTATTGATGATCTCAGGGACAAGGGCTACACTATCTGGAACAGAGAGTTTGACCTTCAAACAGAGACTGATGTTCATTATGCTGTTGATAAATGTTTACGGAGATTCTGGGTCATCCAGGTCATGGTTGTCTCACGGATGTTTTTTCAAAAGGCAACTAGGACTTTGGTTTTTTCCTTGAAGATGTTTCACTTTTTATTCAAGAAGCATCCTCAGAACTGAAGAAGCTTCTTGAATGAGAAGAGAAACCTCTTCAAGAAAAAAACAAAGTCCAGTTGCCTTTTGAAAAAGCATCTTTGGGATGCTGTTGATAATACTGCTTCCATGCCACCCAATATCCAAAATCACCATCTCACTCTGGCTAACAATAGAACTAGCCTTTTCATGATCCCAGTGACTTGTAGACCCATGGACATGCATGCATATTTTATGACCCTTGTCCTGCACATGTCAAAGCTTCATTCTTTGGCTTCAGAATTATTTACAGTTTATTTGCAGTCTCTGAATGGCAGATTATACTGCCATTATATTATATTATACTGTCAATGTGCAAGCCAATATATGTGAGGGTAGATTCTTTGAAGAAAGAAACAAAATTAGTAATTCCCTTTTCATAATACCAAATAAATAGGGGTTCTGTTCAGTACTGCTAACAAGATTCCTGTCTTCCCTCCATAGATGAATATTGAAAATATTTAGAACTCAAGATACAAAAGGATTAAGGCTTCCTATTGTTATGCAGCTATTATTCTGAAAAAGTTCTTTTAAAACCACAGATGTGGGAAAGTTCTGATTCATATCTTGGCCCATCTTCGTTTCAGAATTAACCACTAGCAATTATCTGTGAACAATTTTGAGTTGAGAAAAAGAAAACAAATCCTTTCAGAAAATCTTTAGTATCTTCGTTCCACTTTGGTGAATAATACGGTGGCTTCTGAAATCCTTAAGCTTCAAATACCTTTTGAAGTAAACGAACAATTGAGAAAGGCATTCATAACCATCTTCTTTGTCATTTGTTTATTTTGCTCTGCTTAAAGTGGCACAGTGTCATGGAAACACGGAGAATTTTTTCCCCCCAACAGGCTGTAGCTGGAAACTGATCATTCTGAATAATGTTAAATGTTTGTTCCATACAACTACAAATCTGTAAGATTTAAATTGATAAATATTTGACAAATTATCAAATGCTGCAGGTAAATTACAAGCTAGAAATTTTATAAACTTTACCATAAAACTAAGGAAAGCAAAAGCAAAGCAATTCCACCCAAATAAGCCAGTGACTTGAGATT